GGGGGGGGAAGGAAGAAAAGAGACAGACTATAACAGTGCATCTCTACAAGAGGGTACCCATCTACTGAACTGGATTTTTTCTTCCCCCTTATATAAAATGTACTTGTGGTTCACAATGAGATAGCTACTCTTTGATATAGTTTTTCAATAACCACTTTTAGGGAACATTCACAGAAGTAATGATGGTTCACTGTAAATGGTTTTAGAAAAGGGAAGTAAAGTGACCTCAAATTAGTCATATACATATTACAACCTATATTGAATTCTGGAAGCTTACAAAAAATCTGAAGTTCTGCTATCTGAGTATGTTTTTTAATTCAAATACAGTCAGTTTTCTTAATAACCATAATCTGAATTTCATCTACATATGAAAATTAGGGCCTCTTTTACGCACAGCTTAAAGTTGTCATACACCGTGGATCAGGAACTCATTTGTAGATTCCAGTGTAGTCAATGACTAGAATCACTACACTCATTAAGGACCTCCCTTTTTGGTAGCACTTAATTATGGCACCCAAGATGATCCTAGATGGAGAAAGTTATGATTTCATACAGTATCTCTTGAAAAGTAAGATGGCTATGAAATGTGTGACAAAGGACCTGTGGAATCTGTCACCTCTTCAAATGTGTAAAACTTTACATAAAAGGACAAAAATATAATTTGACTGTATCCTTAAAAACAAAGGACAGACAGTTCAAACCCTATGTATTATATGTCCAAGAGTCTAAATAATAACATTTGCATTATTAGGCATCAACACTGGCAACTCAAAATTAAAATATATAGGGGATAGGATCATGAGAGGGAAGCATGAAATCATGTGCATTTCTAACTTTCATAGACCTATTTCCTATAGCTCTTAATTAGCACAAAAGTAATGTATTATAGTCAACCAGTCAATACCCTCTTTTTATATGCCATAAAATGATATGGCATAAAACCAGTTCAGTGGGCAGAGGCAGTCACAGTGACATTTGCATTATTTAACACCTTCTGGGAAAACGATTTTCAAGAGCAGAAACATGTTTAACACCTCCATTCCCCAATGTTCTGTAACGAAAACAAGGCAGGCACATGGTGTAAGCAAATTTGGGATGTTTCCTGGTAGGTTATGGGTAAGCATAAGATCCCTGTATTATAATTCTCAGAACAATAATTTGCACACATTCTTTGCCCTGCACCTCAAATCCCAGTGGCCACAGGTTTAGGAGTCTGCATCAGCTGAATTTTAAGGGGGGGGAGCCGACAAATGCACAAATCATCATGCATAAGCCCACCTAAACCTCACTTCAGATATTTTGAATAAAATGATGAGCAATTCCTTAAAAGCCCAAGTACCTGCATCCAGGTTAATTTAGGAGGACTGACTTATATAAGGGTGTCCACTCAATGGCAAAGCTGGGACTGACCACTATTAAGGATTCCAAAAGCAGACAAAGTGTTTGCAGAAAATAGGAGGAAAGCAAGTCACACCAAACCTTTCAGGTCAATTAAGTACTTTCAGGTCTACATAGTACTAGCTGGAATGTTAAGGACTTCATTAACATCTTACCAGCCGATATACACCAAAAATAATTAATGCCACTAGTAACAATCAGCAGCAGGTAGGAGATGCCTACAAGACAACCAGTCCACTCATCAGCAAAAGCAGAGAAGCTTAACTCAAAAATACTGAGACCAAAGGACGTAACACTTTTCACCCCCTTACAAAGATTAGGAGGAAATATTTGCTTTTCAAAAAAAAAGGATCAAGCTTAATATTTCTTACAGGGTTAACAATGCTCCAAACTCCTGAGAAATATCTCAGAAGGGTTGAAAGGTGGAGTGCAAGGCAATGTTTCAGGGGATTAAGTATCCCACAGATTTTTTTTTTTAAATCCCAAACACCACAAACACACAAAACTTGTCTGTGAATTAGAGGACAAGATATTGCTATTTTTTGGGGGGGGGGGAGGAGAAAAGAGAAATACACAATTTGTTAATATCTGCCCTTCAATGTGAAAGCAGGACATAAAATCACTCAAAAGTAAATCTGAAATTATAACATCCAATTTTTTTAGGACCACCTATCCCCTCCAACTGTAAAACTAAAGAAATAAGACACCTCTTCCACCCTTTACCCACCCTACCCCTCAAAAAAAAAAAAAAAAGAAAACCCAAAACCTCAAACAAAAAACCCAAACATGATTAATTTTACAGTCCTTGGAAGAAGTATTAAAATTTTGGAGGAAAAGGAACAAAGGAGAAGAGAAATAAGGTTAAGGAGGGGGAAAAAAGCTGCTAAAAGGGGGAGGGAAGAGAAATCAAAGGGCCTCTCTTTTATTTGGCGACAAGCAAGTGCAAGAAAGTTCATTCATAATTTGTTCAGTTGTCGGTCTTTTGCACGTCTGCATTCTGGCCAAGAGAAGGAACTTTGAGGTTTTTCTGTAGCACATGAGCATCCGCTGGCTCTATCCTCTTGTAATAGTTTTTCTTCGTCTCAATGATCTCAAAGCCAAATTTTCTGTAGAAGTCAATTGCTGACTCATTGCTGATCTGGACATGCCTAAAGTATAAAAGGATATCATGAAAAATACTTATAAGTACAGATTCCATGATCAGTAGTATCTCTTAGCCCACAGATGTCTATACAACTATCTTAAAAGTCAAACAGGTAAAAATGGAGTTGGCACTTAACCAGAATCTTACAAATCAGTAAGTACTTACACTAATATTACACTATTAGTAAGGCTTAAGTTTATAGTTTTTTATGATAGTGATGGTGAATCTTCACTTACCACCTTCACAGGCTTATGTGGGGGGGGGGGGAACCTCTCAACAAAATCTCTCTATTCTGAAGTTACAAAGATCAGGTGAATCTTTGAAGAAATTTTGGGTTAAGAAGGGGCCTAGAATTCAACCTTGACACTGAGTGTGCCATGAACACCAATCTTTAACAAGCTAATAGTGCTGCTATGAATTTGACCAACAGTTGTGGAAATCGTTTTGGAGTTATGGTTTAAAAAAAGTGACTAATGTCCAAGAGTTCCCACTGCTAGGCATATAATTAAAGGTGGTCAAAAACGGAACTATGCCCAAAGGGCTATAAAAATGTGCACACCCTTTGACCCAGCAATAGCACTTCTAGGGTTATATCCCAAAGAGATCATACAAATGAGAAAAGGACCCACATGTACAAAAACATTTATAGCAGCTCTTTTTGTGGTGGCAAAGAATTGGAAATTGAAAGGATGCCCATCAATTGGGGAATGGATGAACAAGTTGTGGTATACCAATGTAATGGAATACTATTGTGCTGTAAGAAATGAGGAGCAGGCAGACGTAAGAAAAACTTGGAAAGATTTGTATGGACTGAATGTATTGTATGAGTGAAGTGAGCAGAACCAGAACAACATTGTACACGGGAACAGCCACGTTGTGCTATGACTAATATTGATAGACTTAACCCTTCTTAGCAATACAAGGATCTATGACATCTCCAAAGGCTTCATGATGGAAAATGCTATCCACATCCAGAGAAAAAACTATGGAGTTTGAATGTAGATTGAAGCATACTGTTTGCTATTTTTTTCTTCTGCTGTGTTTTGTTTCCTCTTTCTTGTGGTTCCTCCTATTGGTTCTAATTCTTACTTACAACATCACTAATGTGAAAATATGTTTAATAGGAATGTATATGTATAGCCTATATCAGATTGTATGCCATCTTGGTGGTAGGGAGGGAGGGGGAGAAAAATTTTAAACTCAAACATGGAAGTGATTGTTGATAAATCAAAATAAATTAATAAAAAAAAAAACAAAAACAGAAAAAAGGCACAATATACAACAAAATATCCTGTATCAACTGAATATCCTCAAATCTTTCATCATTAATACTTCAAGGTCAGTGACAATCTTGAATTAAACATAAAGTATGCCACTCTAGCCAGTCTATAAAGAGCTTTTTCATTGTCTCAGTTCCCTCATCTATTAAACAGGAAGAATAAGAGATAATATATGTAAAAGAACTTTTAAGATATGAAAATCATTACATAAATATTAAGCTATTATTTCCAACATAGTAGTTCTTTAAACAAGGATATGTAAATAATTTACTTACAGATAAATGTTGTCAAAAGTGCCATCTTTTTCACAGATGTTTAAGACATGATTCAACATTTTAGTTCCTGTAAATAAGTAAAATACATTTTAAAAGCTATTTATTGAAACAAAATCACAATTTCAACCCTTGTATGCTACACCCTGATGCACATTAAACAGCTTCACTTTGGGAAATTGGAAATAAGACTAACATTTATCCCAAAAGGATTTTGAGAGGTCACTGGTTTGACTTCTAATCTTGACTGTCCTCTTAAATGTGTTAACTTCCTCAAAAAACTAATCACATTTTAGCTAACAATCTCCAAAGCCTAAACAGTATTAACCTTAAGAGTTCAAGAGATCAGTAATAGTTCTCCAGTTTTTCTATTACACAGGTATAAAAATGCCTTCTAATGAAAATGATTAAGATACCTACATTTTTCAAGAAAAATGCCATAAACATTTATGTTCCAGGATCTTAGATTTGCATACATTAAAGAGCTGGGAGGACAACTTTCTATAGGTTTCCCTCAAGAAGAAAGAAGTAACATAAGCCCAACTGACGTTTGAGATATTATAGCCAATTCTCTAATAGCAAAATTCCCATTCAGGATTGAATGAAATGCATCATCAGCTGACCTATTAAGCTATAATTTCTAATGAGATGCTATGAATGTGAATTTTAAGAGCATAAGACAAAGCATTAAGCCTTAATTAGTTATATGTTAATACTAATTATCTCTTACTCTGATCTACAACACAGGCCAGTATTCTCTTTGAAAATCTGTCCAAATGAGTAGAAAAAAATTTATTTAGAAATTCCATCTCACCCCCATACCAAGACGTGTCAGTTAAAAGAAGGCAATATGTTCAAGTTTCTTTCAGGAAAATGAAAAAAAAAAAAATTACCTATTCCTAGCCTTCGGTAAGGTGCCAGACATCCTAGTGTCATGATGTAAAGTCTCTTCTGATTCTGTGAATGATCCACTCTACAGCATACTGCACCCACTGCAATATCATTGAAATAAGCTGCATGAAAGGATACAAACAAAGGTTTGAGGTTCAACAGCAAATATTTGTTAAGCAAATATTATTTGGTCCCCTTCCCCTATCAGTAGTTCTTTGGTTTTCTTGGGTAGAACCTATGATTTCACATCATTGTAGGGAATTCCTGTGTTGGGAAGTGACATGACCATGATGACAGTTGATATCATCAGAGAGTACTTGAAGTCAGGTCTTCCTGACTCCCAAGTTCTCCTTACCTACTAAACCATGCTGCCTTTTTGTTATCAAAGTTAATCTTCGTCAAACTAAATTACAATGAATTTTATTTGTAGAAAAGTACACAGGTTTAAGATTTCAATGTCAAAAATATCAATAAAACATGAACCACATACCAAGTTTTGCTAGTTCGCCAACCTCCAGCACATCCTTGTAGAACTTGTCATTGTAGCTGACTGGAAAGATGACCTGGTTTAACCTCTTCAACTGCTTAATGTTGTGTGGTGTCACGTCTCCCAGCTCGATCCGGCTACTGGAACAAACCAAAATGTGCTCAATACCCCCACAAATGACAATTATTGGAACTACTTTAATACCGTGCCAAAAAAGCCTGACTTCTATATGAATAATGAGTTTACATTTCTATTTTCCTCCATGAGAATTAAAAGATTCAACATAATCTTTTTGCAAGTAGTTATGGTAAGTAATAAAGGCTCCACAGGAAACATATAATTACATATTTCTATTATAATAAGACAAATGTTGTTTGGGCACAATTAGTTAAAATGACAGCCTGGCAATATTTTGCATTCAGTGAAACAATTTTTTCACCTAATTTTAGATCTAAGACAAAACAACAAAATATTCATTTATTTCACAAGGTTGCTACTGTAACAGAACAATCCATCTAAAAGAAATGAACAAAATAATTAACACAGTTGAAAACAAAAGGCTGAAGTCAATGAATAAAGCTGCAACTTTCAGTTATCGAGTGAACACAAAAGTCAGGAAGGGGTATTATAATATTTTAGGTACATGCAACACAGGTTCTCGTAACAGTGTAACCCCTCTACAATTTAGTAAATAGTCTTTGAAAGTTGCTGTGGCCAAAAAAAAAATGTTACCTGGCAGCCAACCAGGTGATGGGCCCTAGGGAAGAACACTGCTGAAATATTGACTTTGTTGCTATTCAGTGGTTTCAGTCACTTCCAATTCTTCACGATCCCTTTCGGAATTTTCTTGGTAGTTCCTAGAGTGGGTTGCCACTTCTTTCTCCAGTTTATTTTACAGGTAAGGAAACTGAAGCAACTGTGGTTAAGTGACCTGCCCACAGTCACATAGGTAGTATAAGTGTCTGAGGAGGGATTTGAACTCCATTCTCCGACTCCAGGCCCAGCACTCTACCCACTGACACCTAGCTGCCCTAAATATTGATTAAAAATATGAAAAAATACAGACACCAACAGTACAACATTTACCAATAGCCTTTACCAAGAATGTCATTAACATAACTCCGCAAGAGTTTTTAGATCAGTGGATTTAAGTACCTAGAAGTACCATGGATGGTAAATTGAGGGTTAAAAGTAACACCTTTATAAAAATCAGACTCACCCAACAAAGCACTAGATAATAGACTGCTCAACCACTGAAATCACAGGATGGATGAACATAGGCTGTTGTATAAAAAATTCTAGAATTTGGAAGGGGATTGGGTTAGATGACCTCTAAAATCCTTTCCACTCACAATTTTATAATTTTTTTGGTATTGAAAATAGCCTTTTGTACCTTCACCTAGTGGTGTCACCTTTGCTCCCAAATGCAAATAAACAATATTACAAAAAAATGAACAACAACATTTTTCAAATTTCACAACAAAATGACCTTTCAAAGGGGAACACATTTTGGACAACTTTTAGCTCTACAAAAAAATTCTGAATAGATCCCAAATGAACAGATTTTGCTTTAAAAAATTTCCTTTCACAAAAAGCTCAATAATCTAATACTTACCTAAAACTAAGCATACCCCACCCCCTCCAGAATCTGATTTCAGTAGTACCACAATTCACCCAATCTCCCTAAACCTTGATATCAGTATCATCATCTTAGTATTTCCTTTTCCCTCATAATTTAAACATTATGAAAATCTGTTTATTCTACCTTTTGAAATATCTCTTATGTCTTTAAATTCTTGACAAGACAGTACCGTAGGCCTTCATTACAACTCTCCTGTATTATTGCAATAACTTAAAAGATCCTCATACTTTTATCCTCTCCTGTCTCCAATCTATCCTCTGAAGTGCCCTAACTAATCCGCCTCATGCACAACTTCTATGTCATTCCTGTATTCATAATCTTTCAAAAGCTACCAACATTAGGCAAAACTGAATAAATGGATGGAAAATGCAAAGTGAATAAAAGTGGAAGCCATCTATCTATATGCTTAATAAATTTAGACAATTCACTTCACTTCTGTGTCTGATTTTCCTGTCAATAAAAGCTGGCAAAGAGAGTTTGGACTAGATAACCTCTACAATCCTTTTCTAGGTCTTAGTCTGTGATCATATCTCATACAACAAGTAACACAAATTACAAAAACCACACTTTAAAAAAATCTAAGTAATTGTATGTTTTCATTTCTCTTAAAATTGTTGAGTCAAACTTTAAACTTGTTTATTTTTCTCTACTCCTCACTGCCATCACCTTATCCTCAAACGTAGTACTTCTTACTTGAATACAGGTATAGATTTTTAATACTAAGAATAAGGTGGAAGTGGGGGGAAGACACTTCTTGAAGTAGCAATTCCAAAAGACCAGCAAAAAAGAAGCATTTCAAAATAATGATCATATGATATTAATTTCTCATAAGATTAATTTCATGAGTTTATTAAGAACCTTAAGCCCCAGTATTCAAAGTTAGTTATATATTAATTTGTTCAACCCATCATCATTGCAAGAACAGATAATAGTTGCATAGAAGGACAATCATTTTGTATTTTTTTTTGAGGGTCCCATGGCCAAAAAATAAATCATCAGCTGGTCAACTAACTGGTACTAAATCTCTCTACACTTCAGTAGGATGGATTTCTAAAAGCAGAAAAATTGTTGCTAGGGCTATACTCAAAGCTTCTCTAGCACAGTAGATCCTTCTAGAGCTTGTGATCCTCTGGTACATGCTTTGACAAACTGAGAGGTAACCAAAGTAGAATGACTTTATTATGTGCAGACATACCACAACAAAATGTTGCCTCATACCAATAACACGAACACACTGCAACAAAACCCTGTTGTACTCAACTTTTCTACCTTCTAACTTTCCTGAAGAGGCAAATCTGGTCAGAAAATGGTTGCTGGGCAAGGGGTAAAGAACTCCCTCTTTTTCTTTCAGCAAAATAAAAATCCCCACCTTGTCTCTCTCCTATCTTATTTTAAGAATTTCTTCTGGCGACCTCCAAATTGGATTTGATTAGTAACACTGCTTTTATTAATCAAATACTATTTCTTTAAGTAAGCCATTCCACTTTTGAGTAGCTCTAATTTATTCCTATTAAATCTCATCTAATGTCAAAATCTCAGATCCTGATTTTGTTACCTAATGTTAGTAATCTGGCTTTAGACACTATTTATATCCCTGGGTAAGTCACTTAACCTTGTCTGCCTCAGTTTCCCAGGGTTATTGTAAAATGAGGTATTTGTAATGCACTCTGAAAAACTTAAAAGTGATACATGTTAGCTATTCTTTCTCATTTCGTATCTTCTGATAATTTGATAAGTATCACATCTACATCTTTATTTGGCATGCATAGTCTTTGACAAACTGAGAGTCACCAAACAAGGATGACTTTGTTATGTATGGGCACGCCATACCATAAAGTGGCCTCCACCAATGTTGCACTCACTGATAAAAAGGTTAAACAGGATGGAATCACCCCCCGGGGGGGGGAGGGGGTCATGGCACTCTGAGGTTACCTCTCTTCCAAGATGACACTGACCCATTAATGACTACTTTTTCCTCAGCTCATTTTTCACTATTTTATCAAAAAAATTTTTCTCAAAATTTACATCTACATACAGCCTCAAGACTCATAATCCTGTGAAGTATGTATCTCAAGTATTTTACAGGAGGAAACAAGTTCAAAGAGGTTACATGACTTGCTCATGGTCACAAAGCTAAGCTAGCACTGAACCCAGGTCTCTTCTAACAAAAAATACATTGCTTTGTGCCTATGACTTTCTTACCACAATTATGATTCAAAAGAAATAAGCAAAAGTCATAGTCCAGTTGTTAGGTTGACCACACCTAACCAGCCTTTAAGTAGATAAAATATTACAGACAAAGAACAGATTAGCTATTCTCCATTTTCACTAAGAGATTTGGGGAAGGGGAAAGAGTTTACATTACAGCAAGAGTATTTTAGTTTTAGAACTTCTTGACAGGTAGAGTGATTAAAAACATCAGTAAAAGCTAACCAGGAAGTTGAGCAGAAAGGACAAAGTAACCCTGAACATAGGACAATGTTTAACTGCCGTACAACAGATTTTTGTAGAAAGTAGACAGTATTAAGCTTTAGCATCATCAGAGTACGAGAGGCTGTTTAGACATGCTTATTACATAGAATCTCGTCAGCAAAACTCAACTTCAAATATAGTTCCCTTCGAGGGAGGTCTGATTGAAATAGATACTTCTGTAACTGATCACTTGGCTGAAATTTAAGCCTGTGGGTATTTTAAATATAGCAGAGCAGTATCATCAACTTGTAAATATACCTTAGTAAATAGATCATGCTACATTAAAGGCACAAACCAGGAGGTAAATGAGCAGTTTGAAAATAATTTTAGGAAAGTATTATCTGGCAATAAGCAACCAAAGAATTTTATTGGCCATGCTTTCTAATTCAGAATTGCTAAGAATCCAGATTAACGTACAAAGTATTAGAAATTATACCAGTAAATGTCTTTGAAATGACTACATAATCTTATCCTCTGAAGCCATCTGTGAAAACGCACAGAAGTAACTCATGTTCTGACAATCTAGAAATAGAAATACCTAAACTTCTAGATTAGGATTACCAAATGTATTTAAATTTACTGTAAGGGGTTAAAAGTCCAAGGAGTTGAAATATCACTATCCCCAATGACACGTGAATGAGAAAGATTAGAATGTGTGGGCTGCCTCCCACTGCCCCTCTCCTCTTTCTGTTCTGCTGGAATTATGAACAGCAGATATAATCTAGTCAGAAATCTGACCCTCATACTGAAGAGTCTGTTGGATTCAGGCCCACCATTTCCTCAAAGCCATTTATTTAGCACAGGTGTAACTGTGATATCTGAAAGCTTCACAAAGTCCTACTCTGATGGCTCACAGGATAGAAGTGACTAAGTTTTCTAAGGCTATCATTTGCAAGCTCTGCTGGGTTCCACAAAATCTGAAAGGTTTTAGTACAGTCTGAACAATAGATGATCTCCTTTTCAAGGACCAGCCTAGTTCAAAACAGAAAGGTTTATCAACACAAGGCAGGTCACTAAATAATGAAT